CTCATAGCTCAGGCCTCACACAGCTATCCGCGGACCTGGCTGCAGTAGCGGCGAATATGCTCACACGTGGAGACAAGGCAGGGTCGGCACGTCAGGCGCCTAGCGCTCCGGGGGATCTCACTCAGTTTATTCCTCTGGTGTCACAGGGCCGTCTCTGCATTGAGCCGGCCCCGGTATGCCTCTCTCCCGGAGAATATCTGCCGGTGCAATTGGGCCAGTAGGCCTGGCCGGCGGGTAATCCAAGATCCAGTTCTGTATGGGTATGTCCGGTAGGCTCAGGGAGTGCAAATGCAACTTCATTCAGCCACCTCAGTATGCCACTGATTCCCCACTCTAGCTTGTAGGCTGAACGGGTGTCCCCATTTGTAAGGGATCCTCTTCTCCCGCAATACGGAGGTGATTGGTTTCAGGGCTCGCCGAGCATCCAGGGTGAGGGTGGATAGGTCTTGGTACAACGCTATTTGTGAGTCCATGTATCTAATAGAGCGCTGCGTCCGTGCCGCTCTCATTAAGGCCTCCTTGAGCTGGAAAAACTGGAGGCAACAGATTAAATCTCTGGGCTGGCCATCCCTGCATGGGGCTCTGAGCGCGCGGTGAGCTCTTTCCAAGCCAAAATCCGGCGAGGCTTCGTCACCTAGAATTTGGGTGAACAGGCCCTCCAGCAGCTCCCGTGGCGTTTCATCGTCAGATTCCGGTACTCCTCTAACACGTATGTTAGAGCAGCGGCCCCTATTATCCAGGTCCTCCACCTGGCGTCTCAAGTCTAGGATGATGTTACCTTGCCTAGTGGCTGCCAGTTCTGTTGCCTGTTGGTGCTGTGTGGCTTGTAACTGGTGCACTTCTAATGCGTCCACTCTCTGCTCCAAAACTGTAAGATCCTGTCTCACCGCCGTGATTTCTTCCCGTATGGCGGTGCGGAGCTCTGCTATGAGGTCTGCCTTGTCTCCACGTGTGAGCATATTCGCCGCTACTGCAGCCAGGTCCGCGGATAGCTGTGTGAGGGCATCTCTGGGGGACCCACAGGTTAGGGATCCTGGCGTGGAGCCCGTGCGGCTACTTGTTCCCGGAGACGCGGGCGCCATTTTTTCAGAGCCGCGTGTGTCGGCCAGAGGTTGCGGTGTGGAGAAGTAATCGTCCATCGGCCCTGCCAGATGTCCCGTGGAGGATTGCGCCGGGCCGGGTGTGACCCCGTTTAGTCTTTCCCATTTTTTCGGGGTTTAGTGCTGTGTTTGCGGTGCTTTGGCGGGTTGGGGCCTAGGAGCTCAGTGTGCCAGCGTCCTACTCCATTCTCCGCCGAGCCACGCCCCCCCTCTTCATTTTTCTTTGATCATTGCATTCCCTTGTCTACCTATACATTCAGGTCTTCCATTTTTCAGTATTTTTCTCTGCCTTTACTCTCATGTATGTCATGCAGCCCAATATTTTATATCCCTTTTAAGGTCCCTTATATTAGGTGGTTTTTGACACCATCCTATGTGCGTATGAGGGACAACACACCTGGACAGCTCCACATGCTTTTCACTTGTCACAACTGCAGTGGCCGTCCATTCTCTAACCAGATTAGTGTTTTGAAGCCCCTGCATTCTCAACCTGTCACACCATACAGACAAAACTATCAAAAAATAAATAAAATTCTACTTTCCAAGTTACATAACCAGATAATTCACTATTGGAGGTGAAGCAGCTGTTCAGTTACAATGTTAGAATGGCCCTGTTAGGGAGACAGCATTCTAAATACTACGTATCTTTCTGGGTTTGCCTATAGGCTCTGATTAGATGACCATGTATCTAACCAACAAAATGACGGTTAAGAAGTCTTATTTTAAATAAACAGAGACTGCTTCACTGTCCCCCTCACCTTGTTTGTTTTATCACCCATTCAGATTAAAGATACATTTAAGACTGGTGCTACAAACAAAAAAGCTTAACAAATTTAAACCTCTTTAGTTTAGAAAAACGGCGCCTCGGAGGGGACATAAAGGCAATATAAACATATATTTGGCGCCAATAAAACCATTATCTGGAAATCTATTCAGAAAAAAGGACTATACATAGGACATGAGGTCAGAGGCGCTTAGATTGGAACAACGGAGATTTAGTGTAAGGCAAAGGAATAAAAAAAAATGAACAGTAAAAACAATAAGGATGTGAAATTCTCTGCCTGAACAAGTAGTTTTATCAGAGTCTGTACAGATGTTTAAACAGCACCTGGATGCATACTTGCAAAAACATAATATTCAGGAAAATCATTTTTTATTTGTGGAGTTTTAGCTCCTTGATCCAAGGATAATTCTGGAATCAAGAAGGATTTTTTTTCTTAGTTTGTTGCAAAATTATGCTTCAGACTAGGTTTTTTACCTTCTTTTGGATCAACAGCAAAAACAGATGTGAGAAAGGCTGAACTTGATGGACACGTGTCTCTTTTCAGCTATGTAACTCTGTAGGGAATGTGGAGGAGAAATTCTAAAGTCACCAACTGCCCATAGGAATTTTTTATACCACATAAAAATTGGATGTATCCTTATATCCGCCAAGAGTAGAAACTCCATTTCACATATAGAATACATACCTTGCATTGCAGTTTCATTAATGGCGCTATACAACTTACTATTTGGACTGGAGTTCAAATGCTGAAGTCCATTTCAAAGATTATTTTTTACCTCAAGTTTATGACATACATAAGCAAAAACAGACACAAAGCACAGCTTTCTAGAAATACGAAATCTCTTTATTGTAACAGAAAATATGAATACATCCATGTCCATCTCACATTTCTGCCATTCATTACAGAACTCTAATAAAAATATATTTGAAGTATTTTTTGTATCAAAGAACCAATCATTCAGAGCTTCTGAGGAAGTGGAATTCATCCAGATGGTTTGATTTACAAGTTCATATAGATTTCTCCTTTATTGAATTGTTAACAGCAGAGAAATAAAGCTAAAAATATAACATGAAACGGTGCTTTTCTACTTTCACAGATATGTTTCAAACAGAGTTACATTGAATAATGTATAAAATCAAACAAGAAATGGTTTTGGTTATAGCGGTTACATAGGGACACTGCAGCATATAAAATGCTTTGTCTTTGACACACCGAGTGTAAAAAAACTTTATTGCTAGTAGACACACATTGGGTTGGACACACATTTAGCCTGGCTTTAATTAAAAAAATCATCATGATATTTATTGACTAATCAGAGATTGTAGCAGGCAGACATCCTAAACAAATTTGAGGGCCAAAATGGAAAATTAAATACCTTACTTATCAACCAAAGGCTTGGTGACCAAAAGCCCTAACACAGATTACACAACAGGCAAAGAGCTTTTGAACAGTATTCTCAAATTCAGAAAAAAAACTTCTTAACAACTGAATTGGAAATTTTGGCAAATTGGTATTCGTTAGTGTCAACTTTTAGTGAATATCTTCTGTCTGTAGTTTATTTGCAATTATATTTACAGCGCACATCCTTAAAGTATTCGTTTTAACATGATTGCCACTGATGGAACACATTACCACTAGATACAAACATAATTAAAAACAGGCTAGAAGTGAATTAGGAAATTGCAAATATGTATCTAACCGTGCATATATGCCAAAAGAATTAACATTCAATATAATTGTAGGTTTTTACATTTTCCAGGCAGCCATCAAACATTTTGGGCTGCAGTCAGTCACATATATTACACTCTATTATATAATGAATGTTACACTGTGTTCTGAAGACAAAAACTAAACTAACAAAACAATTATTTATATGTATCTCAGACTTCGATTACTTGTTTTTGCGCCTCGATAAAATATCGATACTGCCTTAAATTCCATCCATTATCTTGTGATCAAGATCACAATGTGGCAAAATTAGTTGAATTCATTGCAACAGACTATAAATGACAGCTAAAGAAGAACTGTATATAAAAACAAACACACCTTCAGTGTTTGAAATGTTCCAGCTCACAAAACCATTGAGTTGCCTGAAATTCTAAGTGAATTTTACAATTTTGGCCAAAATATTCCAACTGGAAAAAAATATCAATTTCTGATAGATTCTTGATTTCCAGACGAGCTAATTATGCTTATAATGTTAGGTTTACCTTGAAATCACTTTGAATGACCAACAATTCATTCTTTAGTGTGAATCACAGCTGTTGGTATTTTGCTGGCCATGCGTGATGGGAGTTGCTCACCCAAAGATGGTGTAAGGAAGAAATTAACCCTTCAAAAGGCACTGGATTGCATTATTTGATTAGTATGCTACTGGAAAAAAATATATTTAAAAAAAAAAAAAAAAAAGGGACTGACTTGTAAAATTAGCCCTGATTTTCATCATTTTCCCTAAATAGTTTGAAGGCTAGACATTTGTTATAAAATCTTGGTTCATGCTGCTTCTCCATTTATCCCTGGTTATACTTTGCAACTATGTGTATGGCTGTCTTTAATGCATCAAGTGATGGCATAAAATGATACTCAAGTATGGCATGTACATTAATATGTAGATGGAAGAAATTTCATCAAAATATGGCATTTTTAAATAACAGGGTCTTTAAACAAGGCTTTCAACACATTGTCATTATAGGCAAATATTGTTCAGGGAGTAAAGTAAGAATATCCCCCATTGATCTAGAAATGTATTTGTTAAACTCCCATCAATCATAGCCATGGATTATTAACAATAGCAAAAAAATGCAGGTGGGTTTCTATTATCGATGATTCTACAATACTGAGCAAACCACACCATTGAACATTAGGTCACAAAGTCACATGAGTACATAACTTGGGTCAATGTCCTAAAGGGTTATGAACCAATGTATTCGTGTGTTCAGACCATCAAGACGGTAAAATAATAAATAATAGTTTATAGTAAAGTACTCACATGAACAAACAGGCTCAAAACATGTTGGTAAAGGAGGTATTTTAATCGGCTTCACAAAAAAAAGACATAACTTAAAAAGAATTAGTAGGACTTCCCTGCTGTAATATTATTCTGTACAATAGAGCTTTATGCAACACCATAATACAAGTAGACAGCCAAGCCAATGAGAATGACAGCCGAGAAAAAGAGAGCAGTAAGCTGCATCTGGAAAAGAATGTAAGATAAAAGTCCATTTGCAAGCATAGAAAAGGAAATTACAAAAAGTCTAGTAATATTGCTGCTGTGTTTCATTATGGCAGACATGATGAGGCCATTAAGGGCTTGGCTGACAATTATTATCCACACCCAAATGGAAAAACCATCAAAAAAACTGTCCTGGGGGCTGCTTGTTATGTGAGCTATTAAGTTCATTGCTATGCCAAATGAATAGAGGAAGATGTTCTGCATATTCAGAGGTATGTCTTGTTTCTTCAGAGTCATCTCTGTGTAAACTGCAGATAGTCCAGAAATAAGGCAATACAGCAGCATTAGCAGGAGGCCTTGAAGGGTAATGTACAGGAGACTTTGCGAAGACACCTTCTCAAGGTCATGTATACCACCATAGCTATAGAATACACCAGCTGTTGTGAGCAAGAATAGAGCAAACCACTTCTTTATGGAAAGCTTTTGGTGCAAGAAGTAGCTGTATAAAAATGCAGTGCTGACAATTTTTAGGTTACTTAAGACCTGGAAACTGCTGGGGTCCATAAAGTGTTGTATGTGAACCACTAAATTGTTGTTCACACAATAAAGAAAAGCAGGCAGGGCATATGGGGCAGCTAAATGCCAAGAGACTGATATTCCCAATGACTTTTGATCCCATATCAAGAGAAGTAATGAGGACACTATGAGCTTGGACAACTCAATCAGAAGGACAACAGCAGATGAACTGAAAGGGATGGCTCCATTTACTTTGCACAAGACTACAAGAGGGGCATGTGAGCCATAAATGAAAACAGATGTCACAAGCATCAGACCCCATAAAACTCGCATGACTTTTTGCCAAATAGAAAAATACAACAATTCATCGGGACCCACATTATCAATAACATACATTTTGGCTCAAGTAAAACCTATAATCAATGATCTTTGGATATGTGTAAACGTCAGGCACCTGTCATGTATATACATACAAAATTAACAAAAGGGAAGGGAAAAAACACATTCCAAATTGTGATTACAAAACCTGGCTTGTCTAACGTGTGATAGAAGATAATATCTGGCAGCTAGGTGTTCACACTTGTGAACTTGCCTATTTAAAGATGGCCCACAGGGGTGGTGGAGTCCACATATAAGTTAATGCAGTGCTATTTATATACTCATTACCAAGATAGAAAGAAAAAATGTTTTATATAGCTGTTAACCCTGGGCTAAGTGAATTTACTGATTGTCCTCCAAAAGCACTCCATACTAATAAATAAGGATATCCTCACTTTTTAAAATTGATCCGCACACCATAATATTTCATCCCAAAAAATAGTTTGCATTGCATTTAGAGACGTATAATTAGAGAAAGCACTTTATCATCAAGTTATCAGACCTGCTGAAGATACTGTGCAGGATAGTACTATCAGTTGAGATGATTGCAGGCACAACAGCAACACTGTGCAATAATAGAAGTGCCTAATATTGTCTAGTCTGTAAAAAGCACTTAAAGCATTAAAAGTGTAAGCTTTTGGATGAACTGTAAGTTTTTATATTCCAGGCTAGTCAGACCTCTTTTTTAAAGAGGCAATGTAGTCTTTGATGGTCTTCTCAACATTTGGCACCGCGTAGGCCTGAGCAGCATAAATGCCAGTACATGTGCCGACCACGAAGCCCAGTACTGCAGAGGCCCTGAGCTTGGCAACTACATAACCAGCCAGAAATCCCTTTAAGAACGGAGAGCTTAGGAATGATCCTTCCTGCAAAAAGAAAGCGAAAACAAATAAATATGTAATACAGGCTTTAATAAGGGATGTACTGTGTAAAGAGAAGGACATTAATAAATAGCAATGATTTCCCATACATAGGAATAATTCTTAACATAGGTGCAATAAATATTTGTAAATCCAGGACTAAAATTTTAAATATGTAATTTTAGGGTGGGGTTAACATTTTGTAGACTGTTTTAATCATTGCAGCTGGTAATCTAGAATACACAGGTGTCTATTCAGTAGATGCCAGATTTAAACCTAAAGTTTGTAATTCACGACAATTCACCCTATAAGTAAATAGACTGCTTCGATACAAGATCACAAAGGTGGCAAAATTATCAGGGGAACTTCATGGGTGGTAAGTGGAGACTATTTGATTACTCAAACGAGGAAGTGAAGTGCAGTTCTAATAGGAAGAGCACAAGAATGAATATACGTGTTGAACAAATACATAGATTTTTTTTTTAAGGCATTAAAATGTTGATTATGGAATCTTACTACATCTTAGTCCACTTCCTCAACCAGGCAAAATTAGGCTAGATGCCAGAAACACAGGATTAAAGAAAATACCATAAGGTTCAGAACTTCACTCACTACTCTGTGTATGTATCTGCTTTATACAATAAAATTAACTATATCACAAATATAAATAGAATCTTCCAAGTTAATGGTTAAATTTCTTGAATACAAACAATTCTGAAGGGGGCAATATATCTATATATTGGGTATTTTGCACTTAGGATAAACATTGGGTGAGAAACTGTGGACTGGATTAGCAATGGAAAACTGGATTGTCAAGATGGTTTGTGAAAGATTACACATTTACCTGAGTTACTCCAGCACGCACCTCATTCTCAACTCTGCGTTGTAGACCTTCTAGCTGATCCTTCAAGAAAGCAAGGTCCTTCAGCTTTGGGGAACCCTGAGAAGTAGAGATGGACATCATTACAATGTACCAGCTGTACAAATGTTAAGCCGACATTAAACAAATACATACTGCAAAAGCCTAAAGAGGTTTTATACCTGGACTGTAGTTGGAGGGTCTGTGTGCTTACCAGTGATCCTCGCTGTTTTTCTTAAATGCATAATCTATATATGGGGAAGGAAAAGAGGGAGGTTGCCTTTATCAACCACATATCAACAATGAATATTTCATAAAGATTGAATCTTTAATCACGAAGAAAGTTGAACTGGGCACATACAGGTGTTGCTAAAGGGACAATTTAGGCTGCTTATGGCACCAAAATTACCTAATTTAAATGAAGTTGTTGTGATGCCAGGAGGGCCCAGGGCACACTCACCCTGAGGGGTTAAACCATTCTCAAACAGTTTAACACCGAAATTCCCAACTCTAATGCCAATCTCCACTACCCCCAGGTGACATCCAGCTTCTGAAATGTCCCTTTCAGGAAGAGTAGAGTGCTGCCGGGCAGGGGCGCCGCTGATTGGCTGATGGCAGATAGCTGACTCTCTCAACCAATCAGTGACTCCCCAATTCAAAAGATATGTTTCTTTCCAAACCAGTTTTGTAAATGGGGAGTCATTGTTTGGCTGAGAGCGTCAGCTGACTGCTCTCAGCCAATCAGCTGTGTCCTTGCCACCTGCACTGAAATTTCAGAAGCAGTGTGCCGCCTGGGAGGAGTTGAGATCGGCACTGGAAGCAAAACTGGGGTTAAACTGCTCAAGAACGGTTTAACCCATCAAGGTGAGAGTTAGCCCAGGCAGGGCCGGCGCTTCCTATAAGGCGAACTAGGCAGCCGCCTAGAGCGCCATATAGGAGGGGGCACCCTGCGCCCCCATCGCCGGCCCTTTAAATGCCACAGCCGCCTGAGCGCTCTGTAGAGAGCGCTCAGGCGGCTGCCGCACCTCCCCTTCCCTGTAGCGTGGCCAAGCTCCTTTGCGGTCCGCGACCCGGCCGGACTGACAGGTGAGGAGATGATGATTGGGGGAGTGGAAAAAGTTACAGGGAGGGGGGAGAAG